AAAGTATCTGCAAGCTAGAATGATCGGTCTCCTGGGACATAGAATACTAGGGCTGGAAGGGACCTCGAGAGGTCATCGAGTCCAGCCCCCCGCCCCCATGGCAGGACCAAGCACTGTCTAGGGCTAGGCCATCCCGGATAGACATTTATCTAACCTACTCTTAAATATCTCCACAGATGGAGATTCCACAGCCTCCCTGGGCAATTTATTCCAGTGTTTGACCACCCTGACAGTTAGGAACTTTTTCCTAATGTCCAACCTAAACCTCCTTGCTGCAGTTTAGCCCATTGCTTCTTGTTCTATCCTCAGAAGCCAAGATGAACAAGTTTTCTCCCTCCCCCTTATGACACCCTTTTAGATACCTGAAAACTGCTCTCATGTCCCCCCTCGGTCTTCTCTTTTCTAAACTAAACAAACCCAATTCTTTCAGCCATCCCTCCTAGCTCATGTTCTCTAGACCTTTCATCATTCTTGAGACATATGTACTAATCATAGCCAATATCAATAAGCAACGCACTTGCATGGCAGGTACGTGGCTCAACAGTTTGCAAGGTGTCCTACATGTCTTAAAGCCATTGGCATTCCAAGCTGGCCCCCTGATGAAAGCATGTATCCCCATCAACAAAAAACCAGTCAGATAAAGAGGTACTACTCCAAATGTCTAACACCTAACAGTTAGATAAGGACTGTTAATTACCTAATGTCATTTATTTTGATTTCTGAACTAAAAAGGGACATTATCAAAGACTTTTAAAGCCTCGAGCAGCTCCCGGAAGCAGCAACATGTTCCTCCATGTAGAACAGGTTGGGCAAACTACTGCCCAGGGGCCAGATCGGGCCCGCAGACCACCCTGCCAGGACCCTCAGGCGCACAGCTGCCGTGGATTGAAGTGCAGTCCCCGCGGCTCTCTGCTCTGCTGGCGGGGGAAGGCTTCATGTGATCTCCCCACCCCCAACCCAATCCTCAGCTCCTATTGGTTGGAGAGTGGCCTGGGGGATGGAGACAGCGCAAGCCTCTTCCCCCTCCTGGAGCAGAGCACCACATGGAGGGAACAGCCTGCAGTTTCAAGCGATCCAGGGCTGCAGCAGGCAGGGTGGCCAGCCTGCCTTGGAGTGCTGCAGGGCTGCTGGCCAGGACACACTTAGGTAAGCGCCTTCCAGGAAAGCCTGCCTCTGGCACCCCTGCCCCTCCCGCAGGTCACCACCCAAACCTTCTGCAGTCTACACACACTCTTACCCTTCTTCCAGGTCACAATCCCCCCCAGACTTTGCCCTCCCTCCTAGAGCCCCTCCCATAGGCCAGAATCCTCCTCTCTTGCACTCATACTCCCCTCCCTCATGAACCTACACCTCAGTCCCCTGACCAGGGTCACCCACACTCCCTCAGACCACACCACCTCCTGCACCCCACTCCCATACCCCTTCTGCACCCAACCTCCATCCTAGACCCCGCATCTCCTCCATAGAAAAGCGTGGCCCTTGATCACTTTCCAATATCTTAGAGTAGCCCCCCACCAAAATTTATTGCCTACCCCGGTGTAGAAGCTGGAAGCGGCACAGCCAGGCAGCTGTGTGCTGTCTTGTCCATAAGCACTAACCTTCACTGCTCCCATTGGCTGTGGTTCCTAGCCAATGGGAGTGACAGGGGTGGCATTTGGAGCAGCATGCAGAGCTCCCGGACTGGAGGCGGGGCTTGCAGGCTGCTTCCCGGGAGCCGTGCAAAGGCTAGCAGGGAGACCGCCAACCCCTCTGCAAGGCAGACAACTGGACAGTGAACAGCCCAGTCAACGGTGTTGACCGAAGCCACCAGGATCCCTTTTCAAAAACCAGAACCCTGGTCACACCAGTCAAACACTTATAGAAGAAACCTCTAGTCGAGAAGCAAGCCACTAACTTTTGTTTCAAAGTTGATTTAAGATGTAGCACTACATAGTAGTACTGCAATGTGCACGCTCTCAATATTACAATGAACTCAAGTGACAGGCAAAGGACACAGGTCTGGAAAGCTGTTGCCCAAATGAACCCTGATTGAAATCAGAGTCAAGTCAACATAATCACCGCGTAATCAATGGTATCAAAGAAGCCAATTAGATCTAACACAACTAGATCTTTGTTTTAACCAGGGTGTGCTGAAATCAGGTCTACACAGGCTGAGAATAGTCAAGGAAAACTGAGGGATCTAGACATCCAAAAACAAACCAAAATGACACTGCACAAGGCTTCACTAAAAATCTAAAGCTTATGGCTTGTCTGCTTCTCATATTACTGATTTTTACTGACTAGACTGCAACCATTCAGATGCTGACTACTCACTCCTTGTAGCCCTTTGGAGCCCATACAGACGTCAGAGTTTGAAACTCTGGCACTTGAAAGCTGGCTCCCCACACGTGCAGGCTCCCATCTGCCTCCCCTCCTGCTGCTTCTGATACAGAGGCAGCAGAGGTGGGGAGGGGGAGTACATGTAGTTGATAGGATTAACTGATAAGCCCTGTCTTTTCAGTTAATCGTGTAATCGACTACACACTGCCATGCCAAGTACAGATGCAGCATACACAACACCAGGAGTTCTTCTGCCAGTAGGAACACCATTTCCCAAGTGATATTAGCTATGCCAACTGTCAACAGAGCTATGCCCACACTGGGGATTTTGTTGGCATAGCTCTGTCACTAGGGATGGTATTTTTTCACATCCCTGATCAACATAACCATGCCAATATAAATGTTAAGTGCCCAATAGGCTTTAGACAGCTTTTTTTTAGGTAACAGCAGTATTCAGAACAGAGGCTTTACCCACAGAGCTGAAACATTCTTGGTGAGCACGGCAGGCTAGCAAAATCCAAGGAACTAACTTTCCTCAGCGTAACAAACGCTGGGTCTGTGGGAGTACAGCCTCAAAATGGAGCGAAAGGGCGAGTCTCTCACCACACATTTTCAAACTCCATTCAGAATAGGCATTCCAGATAAAAGGAGCCTGAAAGCTTTTCTTCAGCATGATGCAACACGATATTCGGTTTTATTCAGTTACACCCCCCTTGCCTCACAAAGAGAGCACAGAAAATCACTGGCAGATAGGAACTAAGTGTATAGTGGCTAACGTAGCCTGTAACTGGTAAGGCGGCTTTGTTTATTCTCATGAGTCAGCCTGTAATGGCTGGCAGCCCTGTTTGCCACCAGTTTATTCTTTCATGGAAGGGTGAGACAGCAGAGTTACATTCCAGGCTATGGCAGCTTTCCTAACAGAGCTGCATCTCCCTTTATGAAATATGAGCTGAGGCTCTATTTGCTATCTGTAACCACACCACGTTGCCATCTCTTGGGAACATCGCTGCTCACTGGGGGTTCAATTCTGTGTTGCTCCTCTTGATACAGAGGAGGCAGCAGCTCCTATTCAGTGAGGGGGGGTCTGAGCTCCCAGACCCAGCGCAAGGCAGAACTGAGCCTGGCTGCCTGCCCGCAGGGCTCCTAATACACTTTAAATGCAGAGCCACAGTGGGGTAGGTTCCAGACCCGATGCGAGCCAGGACTGAGCCGGGCTGCTGGCCAGCTTGTTAAAAAATGTACTGGCGGGGGTGGGGGGATGCGTGTAGTCTATAGCATTAACTGATCAGGTTTTTGCTTATTGGTTAATTGATGAAACTATTACATTCCTAGTAGTTAAGTCAACTTAATCCCCACTCTAGGTGGAGATAGGTTGATGGAAGAATTCTTCCATCAACCTAGCTAATGCCTCTTGGAGAGGCAGGTTAACTACATCAGAGGGGGAGAAAAACCTCCCATGAATGTAGGAAACATCTATATTACGGTGCTAAAGAGACAGCACCAGCAGTTGTGCTGCAATAGTGTAGACTTAATCTTAGTTCTGCTTAGTTCAACCTGTTCTTAAACAATTTAATCTAACACAAAATGCCCACAAAGCTTTTTGCACTCGTCTGTTTAAAAAATAACTAAATAAAATCATATCTTTATTACACTGGAGCAACTCAATGCAAAACTAGGTCTGAAATGATTAAGATTAGTCTACACACAATTAGGGGAAATGGGGAAGCACAGAACAAAGGGGGCACTGATTCACTGCCAATTGGTTAACCGACACATCATGGGAAACGTGTCAGCAAGACAAAGGTTCAGCACAGATGTTATGATCTAAGGTTTTAGCAACAAACATACAATGCTGGAATCGAGGTTAGCAATTCATTCAAGGAAATGAGATTACTTTTCAACATTTAAAAGGTTAAAAAATGAGTCTAATCAACATATTAGGAGTTTCTTCAGAGCAAACAACAAGAGAAGGAATGGCTAGAAGAGTAAAAGTATGCAGTGAGAGCAGAAGGGATGGAACATCCATGGGGGGGGGGGGGGGGGAAAATCAGGGCCATAAGGCTAGACTAGGGCTACTCAACACACGGGCCGGGCAGCATGCGCCCTGCAGCCTGTTTGTTTGCAGCCCGCAGTGTGGTTTGGGTTTACGCAGGGCTCAACACACAGCCCACGGGTGGGAAACAAAACAGAAAAGTAGTCAAAATAATGGTCTTCTGTTGCTACGTGTTTAGCAGTCAAATTCCTGGACTGTCACCTCTCATTAAAAGTGCTGTCATATGGGTGGAAATCAGGTCAATATTGCATTGTATTAATATCAGCAGAACTGACTTAAATGGGGCCTGTTTGTTGTATAGTCTTGCTTTAAACTTGGAATTCATGCCCATCAGTGTGAAAGAAGCTATTTGCATCTATATTTGCATGTACATGCAACCACACTTAAGTTGCGGCCCTCGGCATAAACAGAGTATCATTGCGGCCCCCGGGGCTTCCAAGGTTGAGTAGCCCTGGGCTAGACTGTCAAAAGAATTCACCACCCAGCAGCTCCTATTGGAAGCCACCCTTTAAAATATGTCCATTTCATTTAAATGCTTGAGGCCTACTCGATACCACAACCCACCCCGTCAATCTATCCTACACAACTTCAGCCACACAAATGGCATAGCTGAAGCTGACATACGTACCGCAGTGTCTTCCACACGGTAAGGTCAGCAGGGGCTGTTCTCCTGTTGACTCCAGCTACTTGTCTCACCCTGGTCAAGTAACGGAATGGACAGGAGAGCTCTCGGTCGTCGATTTATCGTGTCTAAGCAGACACAACAAATCGACCGCCAGTGGATCACTCACTTCAGTGTAGATCCATCATGTAGTGAAGACAAGACCTAAACGGGATAAGAGCAGTTCTGAAAAGGTGACCTCCTTATGTGCCTTTCCCAGGAAAAGTATAAGTGCTAAAGAAAAACAAGTAGCATGTTAAACAAAATATCACATAGAAATGTAATTGTTCACATCATTCTAATGTAGAATCCAAACAGAGCAACCCGCAGATAAATGTGCTGCACACACCAGACATACCAGGAGACCTGTAGAATGATACACCATCAAAAGTTGCACTGGGAAAGTTTTAAACTTTTTACCACGAAGAGACTCCTACAGAATGTGGACAAGGAAATGTCGCAAACTCCCACCCCTATTTATTTCCATAAGACTCCACTGCTGATCACTCATATACCCCTCTGCCCCACAACAAGAAGTTTCATAGCCTAGCTTCTAAATCCCAAAGGAGGTCTAGTTTCTTTTACACAACTATCCCCTAATAGCACTTCATCTCTTAAATGTCCTCGCCTTTTAGAGCAACAAGAAGGGCGAGAGTTAATAACTTCCCTGTACCTCACCTCAGGCTGGGACCTCAGACCTTAGTTAACGCATTTCGCACATTCTGGAATTATCCTCCTCACCCTTCCCAACCACCATCTGGAGCTTTATTAAAGAGATCTGAAAATGAAGAAGTCAGATTAAAAAGTAGGATTTCAAATGGAGTGTTTCATTTTTCCATTTAAAAACTTTTAAAAGCAACATTTCTCACGTCCATCTGCACTCACTGACCAAAGGTTTCACTGACATAGGGTTCTCAAAGCATTGGACAAAGAGGAGTATTCGAACTACAGGTTCAACCTCTCTGGTCCAGGACTCTGGTGCCGGACCATGGATATTGCTGGACTGGAGAGCTCCTGGAGCGAGCAGGGGGTGGCCGGGAGTTTGGCATCAGAATGGTCAGCTGGCTGCCGGAAGTGGAGCCAGGCCAGTGGCTAGGGCCAGGAGTGGAGACTGTCCAGCGACCGGGGGCCAGTGGCCAAGCTGGTCCAGTGGCCGGAGCCTGGTCAAGGCCATAAGCAGGGCTGGGCTGTCAGCCGGGAGTAGAGTTGGGCTGGTGAGGGCAGGGGGCAGTGGCAGAAGAGCCAGTGGCCAGAGCCCAGCTGGGGCCAGAAGCAGGGCCAGTCTGGCAGCTAGGGAACAAGAAGCCCAGAGCACCAGAGCCTGGCCAGGGCCAGCAGGGGAGCCTGGTGGCCAGGGCTGGCAGTGGAGTTGGCAGCCAGGAGAGGAGATCAGCTGGAATGCTAACGATCCCCTGCAAGATGCTGGACCTCCCCGTGTCCATTAAACGGTCTTCTTTGGGCCTAGCGAGATCCAATCCTGGATATTATTTATGGAAAACTGAGGCAAAAAAAGATTAAATGAACTGCCCACTCTTACATGGACAGAGTGACAAAAGCGGAAGAGAGAACCCAGGAGTCCTAACGCCCTCACCCTATTCTAAATACTAAACACTCCCTTCGACACCACGCTTGCATTTCTGAATGTATAACCATGTGCCACAAGAACTAAGCTCTCTGTAAACCACTATATTTAAATTGAAATCAATTCAATATGAAGCTGTTCAACACTCCGTGACTGCATAGCTTTGCAATCACCATCACAGGAGGAGTCATGACACATGCATTTTACAGCACTTCCAAATTACCTTTATAAGAACCCTGTCACAGGAACTAGCTACAGTCCTTCAACCCAATTTTAAAAAGGTTAGTGATAACTGCAATGTACCAAGCATCAGGAGACACTGCTCAGTCAAGATGAGGTTTATTTTCATTTGACATCTTTATACATTAATGTGCGGCAGAAAAAGAAAAAAAATTACAGCATTAAAGGCATTCGAGATAGCTAAATTGGGAGGTGTTGCAAACACCAGGGAAGTCTGAGAAGCAATAAGAAATCTAGGAACTATAGAAATAAGGGCATTAATTTATTTTAGTCCATATGATTCAACTTGAACTAAATGCATTTAATATTCTGGGGAATGTAAACTAGATCATAGGTGGAGGGAAAAAGATACTTGGGGTGACAGTGGACAGTAAATTAGATATGAACTTGTATGTGACAAAGAAGGGGGGAAAGTGATTCAGGGCTACACAGGAAGGAAAGAGGTTATGTCCTGATCTCTCAAACTCTGATGTGAACTGTATTCATCTCTAAACAAGCCAATATCAGCACTCACTACTAACAAATTTGAGGATATTCAGGGGAAAAAAGTGATTAAATTACTCAAGGAGCCTGATTTAAGAAGAAACATTAAAGTAGCTATCTGACTAATCACAACTAAAATGGATACATCCCCTTTTCAAATCATTGTGGATAGTTGATGCCAATGAGGGAGCAGGATAATTATAGGTATAACCAAGAATAGCAGCACAAAAGTAAGACAAAACTTGGCTAAGTACAAATAAAGTTGTCAAAAATGATGGTCGATACTGTAATAGGTTCCTCAAGAAAACCTTATTGCTTGAGACACTTAAAACTGGATTTCTCAAGAATACTCCTGCACTGGCTAGTGAAATAGACCAGATAACAGTTTTAGGATAATGCCTTTCAGGTTATGATTAAACAGTATAAACAGAATGAGAGAGAGAGAGAAGGTCCATCACCTGAAATACAGAGAACATTTGTCATTCCCCAAATGTCTTTACTCAGATACAACTGAAAACTGAACAAATTTTAGTAATTCGATGACTCTTTGGGTTGTGTAAAGTAGGATTCGGTGAACAGGATAGCTTCATCCAGTGTCTGTTAGTTCATTGCTTTCAAACAGAAAAACTGATTTGCCATCTCTCTACTCCAAATCAGATTCTGGGATTGGAAGTAATTGATCCAAATGATCTCTATAAAAAAAGGCTACTGCAGATAGACATACAGGGTTAACTAACCATACTGCAACAAAGTTTGCACCTACATTTCTGGATTGGAACTTCCATCAGTTCAACCTTCTTTTTAGACACCAATAGCAAACAAACTCTTCAGTGATGGTCAAACTACAGCTACAAAACTGATTACGGTTGGCCAGAATGGTAGTTAATATGTCAGGGGTGGCCAGCCAATTAGACACTAAGAGCCAAAGAGCTGTGGATAGTAGTGCAAAGAGCCACACATCCCTCCCCCAGAGACAGGCACCCCCAGGCCCCTCCCATTCTAACCCAATGCCTGGGTCTGACCGGAGGTGCCACTGCATTTTTCCTTCCAGGAACTTAGGCACGTGCACAAAGCGGGCATGGAGCTCTGAATGAGCCCTAACCCTGAGAGCTGCATTTCTGTGAGCAAAGAGCCGCATGCAGCCACCCCTGTAACATGTATTCTTATGATCATGATAAAATACAAGTTCTTTAAAAATAAAGAGAAGGGGTATTAACCATGATTCCAACATGAGCAAATATAGCGTACCTTTCTAAAAATTCCTTGGTGTTCAGTTGATGAAGTTAATCTTAATTTTGTATCAAAACACTGTTTCACAGAATTGGTGGTTGAGAATTACTGTAACATTCCACACCACGTGAGACTATATTTAAGTGAACAGCCAATAACTATATTTCTCCAGTTTGTAAAGTGCCATGTAATTCTTTTGGACAGACCTATTGGTTTACAGTATGCTTCATGCTTTACCAAACAAACTGGAAGAAGTCCATACCTCAAAAGACACAATAATAAGAAAAGACATTCTGAGGAATCCAGAGAAAAGTATCCATTTTATTTTTATTAACTCATTCCCACTAAAATTTACTCTTCAGAGGGGCCTGAATATGCAGAGGATAGCTTCTTGGTGAATCACGATAGAGATGACAGTTCATAAGAAAAGGTACAGTTAGGAGAATGGAAAGAGGAAGGATGATATTGGTAGTCAACTGAATTTCAAAAGAGTGTAAACTACAGAAGAATCTGCTCTTAAAAATTTTAAATTTGATTAATCTATATTGATTTTACATCTGTCAACAGGTATTTTTATTTTCATGTAAGAAAAGTCTAACCTGTTGGCCTTTCTCTTTTAGGACAGGTGTGGAGAACCTCAGACTTGGCAGCCGTATGTGCCTTCCTCCCCCAGCTCGCGTGGCTCCAGCCTCCAAGCTACTAGCCAGGGCCCCCCTAGGCTCTGGTGTGCAAAGGGAATGTGAGCAGGATCTTTCTCCTTCTGAGTCAGGGGCTTCCCACTTTGCTTCTCACTTGTGTGTGGCCCCCAACTACTTTCTCTAGGGATCAGCAGCCCCTGCCCTAAAAGAGATTCCCAACCCATTTTACGTTAAGGAGAAGAAGTGGGGCCCCCAAATTAATTTTAGTAATAAAAATGAAATTCTTTTGACAAACTAGCCAGTGAGATTCTACTAAATTAGAGCTATGAAACAGTCACCTATTATACCACAGCATGTAAGTGAAAGGAACAATTGTGGAGTAACAAATTAAACCCTCATTGCTTCAACAAGTTCTCAGAAAGTTTGAGCTCCCAAAGTCCAACAGCGGGAAGCAACAATTCTTTACGCAGTGTATCTATAATGTAAATAGCTATAATGTACAATGTAAATATTAAGTTTTCACGCTACTGTTGCTCAGACTGATTTAATTTGCCAAGGGATGGGGGAGGAGGGAAAATAGTCAGCACCTCCCAAAACTCTTTTCAGGAGGGGGCTATAAAACGGTGAATCCCACAACATGTATTCTCGGGGTTACCCCACCCAATCAGGTTTTTTGGGGGGGACCCCAAACTACCAATTCCAGGGGCCCTTCCCCCCAACCTATAATCTCCCTCACACACCCATTTTTACCAGGCAGCCCCAAGCCCTTACCCCAGCAACTTTAGGAAGACTCCTACCAAAACCCCCTAATCCCCCCGAATGGCGCTGCTGCTTAGGGCCCCTCACACCTCACCCACACAAGCCGCACACCCATAAGGGGCCCCA